ATATTCTTAATATTTGCACAGCCATTAAAAGACAATTTTCCCCAATGACATCTCTGTTTCAGGATCTGCTAAAAGCCATCTGAAAGCCACTTTCAGTCACAATCCTATTTAGAACTTACTAGAGTTCTTCCCCTGTGTTCACAGGGGGAAAAGTGACCACTGAACTTTTGAATTTATCACACACTGAAACTGCCTTAGACGTGGTTTGTTTGGGTTTCATGTTTCTTTTCTTTTTTTTTGTAAGAGAAAAGTCTTTTATACATTATCTTTGCTACTTAAATTGTGTGCAGTTTGATGATTAAAATTAGCTATTTTTAGAAAAAAAAAAAAACTTGCTGCAAAATCTGAAGAACTTTTGAAAATGTAACAAAGATTTTGATTAGGAATATAAGGGTAGTTTCATAGATGCTTCTACTTGACAGCTTAAATTTGAAGCAATTACACCGCTCAACTAACCATCTGAAGATTTAATATAGAGAGTAATTCCCCAACTGTTCCCACAAGCCTAGCACTTCCAATTACTATCCATAGTGACTCACATACAGTGTTTGCTTAAGGTATGTATGTGTGTGTATGTGTGTGAACACATGTGTGCGTGAGACTATTCTCTCTGCCTCATTCCCACTTTTAAGCAACCACTGAAATAAAGTTGATCCAAAAATATTAAAACTCAATTAATTGCCTGAATGAAAGTTCATAAATAGCTAGGTTTCTAAATAGCAACTTCAGCAGTAATGAAGTTATCTCATCTGCTGATCATTAAGGAGTGACCAGGGTCTCTTACTTCTGCACCTACTTTCCAGGCACCCCAACTTCCTGAGGTGATTTGGTTTTGCTGCTCTCCCATGGAGGCTCTGGGGGTCCTGGGGATATTCTCCCAGCACCAAGGCAACCTAGGCTCAGCAGGATGGTGCTTTTCACATGAGCACTGCAAATTAATCTGCTCTAACATCAAATCTGCTGGTAAATATCAAGGTTTTTTTGAGATAGTAGAAGCTCCTTTGGCCAGGGAACCAACAGTAACACAACAGCCTAATTTCCCTCTTCTCCCTTCTAGCAGAGCCTTACCTGCATGGTTAGCCCAACATCCATCAATATGGATCCATAGACAGCTGCCCACCTCTCCAGCTGTTTTTACCACAGCTCCTATCAGTGTTGCAGAATACACTGTTTAAACCCTATCAATGCTCTTGAGACAGCTTCAGCAAAGATCAGAAAAATTATTTTTTCTCTCATCCTCCTGAAATCACTTCCCCGAAGAATCTTCAGAGACAAGTAGTAGCCCAACCTTCCATACATGTGGGTACCTGGAATGTGATGTTTCACATTGTCAACACTGTGACATTGTTGAAGTCAAAAGTTGGCTTCGGTGACCAGTAGTCTTTGGGGCACAGTCCTGGAGAAACTGTAGGATTTGCTCAGAGTCACTAGCCAGCAGCAGCTTAACTTGCATTTTCCTAACACCTGGCTGAGATCCAGTAGATCTGTCCTGATGATACTTGAGAGGATGTGGCTTTGCTTCGAGATGGGAGAGCAGCAACAGGGCAGCAGGTAGCAGGCAGATAAAAGTGGGAGGGCATGTTCTAACTCTCTATGGGATCTAATATTAAGTGAATGGGGAAGATGGTGATATGGTTTGCATGATACAGAGAGTTCTTACAAGTTCAAGTTCACAGAACCTAAATTTACAAGTCAACCAGCAGGAGATTGCTCATCTCCTACTGGGTTCAGATCAACTTTAATCCACACCCAGCAGGCACCACCCCAGACAGGACACTCCAATAGTTCTGAAATTACATTACTGTGTGGGGTCCTTTTAATTCTCATTCTTAATCAGAACCATGGCTTAGGACAAGTCATCAGTACAACAGTGAAAATTCAATCTGCAGTAGGCAGAGGCACAGGGGATTTTGCTTTCTCTTTGGAGCGTAGGGGTTCTGCACTTCAGATTCCTGGGAAGAGAAGGTAAGATAAATAAATAAATACCCTGTGGGCTGGTGGGTTATGCACACCCCTGTGTCAGTGCACACAACCAAATGTGTAGTCAATGCTCTGATATGCTCATATACAAAATACTCATCTCTGAATATTACTGGGTTTGTAATCTTTGTTATATAAAAGGTTTAGGCTGTACAGACTAAGGAGCAAAATGCAGATACCCCATATAAACAAAATTTGGTTGCATTACTGAGCATAACAATACTGTCCCCTACCAGCATTTAGGTGGAGTGACTGTACGTTACTACCTTGCATTTTTCACATAAGCAAAAAAATCTAAAAGTAAAGGATGCACTAATGATTCCCATCCCCCAAAATGCATTTCAATGGTGCTGCATACAAAATTTCTGCTTGCCAGCTTCCATGCGGATTTTTGTATGGTGCACTAAGAGGTGTTCTTTTTTTAACAAATAAAAAGGGGAGGGCTGGTACATGAAAACAATGTTAATGTAATTAAATATATATATACTTCAGAAGAACAGCATAGTAAGCAGTACAGTAAAATAAATGTCACATTATTTGTTACACCTTGTAATTTGTCTGTATTATGAAAGATGTAATGGTACGTCAGCTGTAACTGTTGTTTTCTTGTAACATCATATTGAATAAAGTGTAGCAGAATCTCTCTTCTCCTTTTTATATGTGATCTAGACCGAACCCAAGGAATAAAGCCTTTATTTTCCTCTTTGTTCTCCAAAAACCAAACAAGGAAATGCTTGTAAACAAGAGATTTTTAAGGAATGAAAAGTCCTTGGGAGCAGGCAGACACTAGACAGTAATATGTTGAAAAGATTAGCACTGAGTCAGTTAAATATGAGCTTCATCAAAAGTACAAGGCAGTGCTACACAGGGCAAGATCCTTCACATTTCTGTCTGTAATTGTAAGTTAGTGATTTGGTGTCTCTTTCCATTTTGTTATATATGTGACAAGGGACATCTTTACAGCACACTGGAATTTAACCAAAGTACTAGAAAAGCCAGTATTCTGAAAAAAAACCTCAAAAAACCCCAACAGGTCTGATTTAAATATATCATCTTATAGAGGATGAAGTCTGGGTTATTGCAACTTCTCTTGAAATAGAAAACTGGTAATTCCAGTAGAAAATGGGGCAAAACATAAAGTACATATTTTTCACAACTTTGATGTGGAAGTGTGATTTATCCTTGTTCATACTTGCTTATGTATTTCAATCAGTGAGCATATGCTGCCTTGACTCTTTGTCTATTTGTGCATCATAGCATTAGATAAGCAAGTGCTTGCTCACACTATATATTATCAATATGTGTGTTCAGTATTTTCTCCTTCTCTCCATTGCTTATAGCTTTTTTGGTACCAGCATCTGGCTAGGACCTATTTTTAGACAATGAATGCTAAATCAATGCAGTTTGCATAGACTTTGTTAGAATTTCTGCCTGAAATGTCAGAATAAGTGTTTTAGCAAACACAGGAGTCTATAGGAGTCATTTTGATCTGGGATGGGGGATAGCTGGAGTGCAAGTGTTTATACTGTGTGGGTTGATGGGGCAGCAGCCTTAGCCTAGAATATGAATAATAGAGGACCTAGATTATAATATCAGCTCCAGCTGATTAGAAATATTTGAAGATAAAAGGGCCTTCCTTGGAGCTAGCACAATATAAGCTTGAATGTGGGTCTTCAGTGTCTCAGGTTTTATCCAGCGGAATAATATTCTGGCCCTGTTCTGATCACAGAGCACTTCAGGAGAAGAATCCTCACTTTCCGTCTAGAAAGCTGCTGCAGAATGACATCAACTGCACCCAGAGGGCATTGCACAAAAACAAACTAAGAAAACACACACATGTTCATCTATTTATATTTTACCCTCAGTTCTCACTGGCTAGGGCAGGTTTAGGAAGGTGTTGCCTTTTTATAGTCTAGATGAATAATTTGTATTCCTGACTCACTACCTGTATGGCAACTTTAACCTACAAATCCCTCTGATACAAATGAGGACCAAGAATTATTACCTAAAAAGGTTTGTATGTTTGAACACAGGATACCAGGAAGCATGTTCAGAGTCAGCTTTTAATTATGTAGTATAATCCTTAAAGCTGTCTCCTGACCCCTTTGGCTGCACTCCTAGCCTGTTTAGCCCCAAGGTTTTCTTCCTAAGCTAGCCTGGCTGCTACAGCAAAGCAAGAGATGCATTCAGCTAAAATAGCAGACACCCCTCCCCCAAGAAAAGAAAAACCAGAGGGAAGTTGGAGCAAACCTGTGCCACTGGGTTGACAAATACATTTTCTCAATAATGCCTCTCCTTGTAAACCTCTGCAAAGTAAACCCTACAGCAGTGGAAGGGCTTGCTGCTACCAGTGGGAGGTGGTGTTATGGACATTAGATTTGAGAGGCTTATATAGCACATGGGCAAGGATAAAGGGATACAAATCAGAGAGGGGAAAAAAAAAAAAACCACAAAAAGAAGCCCACAAAACCCAAAAAACTGAAGAGATTTTTTTAAAAAAAATCCAGGGCCAAGTATTTACTGTTCATTTCCCTTGTGAGTGGTGTTATATATTGTCTGCAGTGAGTCATGCTGAGAGCAAGCCAGGCACAATAATAGCTGAGAGCAGTCCTGCAGCCCCTTCGTTATTGCTTCTGCCAGCTGATACCGAGTTGGGTGAAAGAAAGTGATTCCAGAAATGTTCCTTTTTATTTTTTTCCTTTTCTCTTGTTTCCCAAAGGACCAAGTAGTGATTGCTGGGGCTGTACTACCTTGAAAGAACTGCTAAATTAAAATCAAACATTTTAAAATTAATTTTTTAAGGACCCATATGGTGATTCACATAAAAGACGTAACAGCTCTAAGTGCTATACCGGATACTGCAGTGATGTATATAACAGTAAAGTCTTGAAGCCTAAGGAGATTTATATATCATAGAAACATTTCAACCACACCTTTCAACTGGAACTAGGACTACAGTGTAGGTGTCACAAGCGTAGGTGTTAATCTTACAATCCAGCTAATTATACATTTGTCCCCAGCTTTCACCTGAGGAACTTAGAGATACCCACACATCAAAGAAATGAGTTGTACACACATCTTGGGAATATATCATACAGATGCAAAGATCCATATTTTTGTAGAAGAAAAAGGAAGGAAAACCCACGCCCCCAACACCCAAGGTACGTATTCAGGTTTTTTTAGAACAGTTTCTCACAATGACAAAGTATAACTTCTGTGTTCAAAACAAGTAATGTTTCACAGTGCAGACAAAGTACATGCCAAAGTATTTTGCTCTAACAGGACTCTGAAGAGTTGTTCGTTGACCAAATGCCCAGCATTGTGTCACTGTGGAGCAGGAGAAACTGCAGGTACCACCATTCACTGGGAAATACTGTAAACATGAACTGCTACCAGGAGACACAACTTCCAGAGACCATCTCAGATGTTCTTCTATAATCTCATTTTTTTTCCATGACACACACTATAGACAGCAAAGGAGAAGTGAGTTTCTGCATGGAAGGTTGTACTCTACAGTACACAGGGCATTTTGGAACACAATTGCCTCCTTGGTGGGGATGTGAATCATGGAATCAGTTCTGGTCTCCCACATCCACTAGGTTCTCAAACAGAAATGCCTGTTTGCATCTGGGAAATGTGTGTGTTTTCACTGCTGGCTGTTCAGTTTGCACTCATGCACACGGAGTGACTAATCTGGAATAGCAGGAACCTGTAATTTTGGGAGCAGCTCCTTTAGTGGAGGTACCCTGCTCTTCTGCCAGTCCAGAGACAGCAGCGAGTAAGCAGAATGAGGATTTGCTGCTCCATAGTTTCAGCCACTCTTCCAAGCTCTTTGGTTCTTCTTGGATACATCTGTCAGTGCAGTAGGACTGGAGGTGGAGGAAGCAGGAGAAAAGACATGAGACAGATATGTGGCCAACTGGGGGCAAGGTCTTGAACCTGGCAGTTGTTAGGACTACTTTTGTGACCCACACATGAGAAGGGGACATTTGGATATCATTTCCCCAAGCACTCGCAGTTTAGATTTAGGACAGCTAATTGATCAAAGGAAAGGGAAGAATCTCAGAGGGTTTCAGATGAGCCCTTACAATCCCCTAAAGATGAGGAAGTGCACTGTACATTCACCACCTGTAATAACACAGAGCTTTGAACACCCCAGTGTGTTTCCGCAGTGTTAGTCAGCAGGGTTCCCTATGACAGTGCTGCCGAAGTAGACAATAATACCGTTTTTGGGAGAGGATGCTTGCCAAACCCCAGTTAGGCAGCAGTGCCAGGTGGGCTGAAGGAGTCACCGGTTTAACCAGGGAAACAAAGGAGCCAGGGCCTGGGAATGACATCAACTCTTACTGAAGGCCTGGTGACAGACTGAAGCTAAAGCAACTTTGTCTCCTGCTCCTTTTTAGTGCTGTGTCTGAAAAACACCAAACCATCAATGGCTCACTCAGTGGGATCTCCCAGCCCCTTTCCCCCACGGGGCCCTGTTAGCTCTGCAGGAACTTCATGGTGAGAAACCGCAGCACCCTTCCAAACACTGGGCCCGGTGATTCCCGCACCTGCAGCTCAGGCTGCTGAGCTGCTTTGCACCCGAAATGTTTTGACTGCAGGAATCTGTCTGGTAGGAGGGAGTGCCAGGAAGGAACAAGGAGCACATTCAGGTGTGCTGGCTGTGCTGACACCGCTGAGGTGCCCGGTGTGTGGAGACAAGTTTTCGCTCCCCACAGGCGCCGCGGCCACGACGGCACGGGCAGGCCCGGTGGGAGGGCAGGGCCGCAGCCAGGAGCACGGTTCGTGGCCAGTCCCACAGGGGTGAAGCTCCGTCCTGCCCCTGCCCGGTTCCGCTCGTGGGCCGAGGGACCGCCAGCGCAGACCGGGAAGGGCCGGGCTGTGTCTGCACCCGCTGGGAAACCGGGAACTCTGGCATCAACGTGAGCGAAAAACAGCCCCGGAGTGTCATTCAATGCCGAGCTGGGCATTCAGTGCTGAGCTGGGCAGGCTGCGGCCGCCGCTGAGCTTGGCGCGGCGGAGCAGCCGTGCTGCCATGAGAGGCGGGGTCAG